ATTGGTAACTTTTATCTCCAGTCACTGATCACAGCACAGCTACAGTCCCACACCATGGGTTAACACATGACCACCCAGGAATCAAAGGTTCCTCTTCACCTGTGGTTTTTTTGTTTGTTTGTTTGTTTTTTGTTTTTATCCTCTGTCTTCTCAAACCATAGGTTTCTAATAGTCAAGGGTGCTCTAGCAAACCCCAATTCTGACACCCATTCTGAGGAAATAGGAACAAACAAACTTAGTTTCTCCTGTGTTCTCACATCATAGAACATTTCTGACACCAGAGTGTGGTGGTATTTCCCCACACACCAAGTAATCATCTGATCAGTTCTACAGTAGACACCAGCTGGATAGCCTCTAATCCAGTTCAATGCTGACAATACTGGCAGCTTCAAATTCCAGAGGTTGAGGGCTTGGTCCCACCCACAAGACTATCCTCCACTTCAAACACCCGTCGGAAGCTCCAGTTGTTGTACCTGTGCTTCTGACCAGCCAGCTATAAACCAGATTTCCCACAACTTCTCCTTGAGTTCTATTTGCTAGAGCAGCTCGAAGAACCCAGGGAAACAGTTACTTACGTTGGCTTATTATAAACCAAGGGTATTACAAAGGATACAGATGAACAGGTAGGTGGAAGAAACTGTAGTAGTGATGGGATTTTCCTTTCTCCTCTGAAGGTTCACTGAAAACGAACTGACAATGCAGATTAAGGGGGAAAGCATATAAAAATTTAACGATATATATGTGCACAAGGGAGCAATACAAAATACTAACTCCAAGAGGGGCCAGATGGCTGTTTCACTATGCTGATAAGGTTTCTAGATAATCTCTGAGTTTAGGTAATCCCGTGACTCCGAGCAGAAGAGATGGAAAGTTTATCAGGAATGTGGATGTAGAGACCATGAGTATTTTTTCATGTCTCTGGTTGCTTGAAGAGATTCCTAAGGCAGGAGTTCAAGAGAATTGCATTTCTTTCTTTCTTTCTTTCTTTCTTTCTTTCTTTCTTTCTTTTTTAAACTTGTCAGAGGGCACATGTACTAACTAGAGAGGGAAAGTGAGAAAACACTGCCTATGGAAGATGGCCACACTGCAATCCCTTCTCCATCTCTCCCTCCTGTTGGGATTTGGGGCATGCACACACACACACACACACACACACACACACACACACACACACTCGGTATATTTTCTAACTGCTGAGTCTAGGACTTGAACAGTGCAGTTGGCCATGTGTGATCCAGCCACCCTAACCACCACATCACTGGCTGGCCCAATGCATTTCTATTGTTAAGAAGTTCCTCAGATTAGTGAATTTCAAAAAGAACTGCCCCTGGCCCCCTGCATCCTGGGTTTGGAGTGGGGATAATAAGGCAAGTTTATAAAGACCTTGATTCTGAGAGTTTCTAAGGCCTCTCAGCATGTCAAAGTGTGAGTCTTTGGGGAATCACATTGCAATCCCCGACAAGGTATAGGGTGAGGCATGTCAGAAAGGGTGCAGAGCTTCCATGCCTTCCCTGGGTATACCACCCTCCAGAAACCTCCATTTGTTCAGTTACCTGGAAGTTTCCTGATCCCAGTCCTTTTGGGTTTTCATAAAAGCTTCATGATGCAGGCATGACTGATTCAATCAATGGCCGCTGACAATCAACTTAACTTTCAGCCCCCTTGTGTTCTCCATAGGTTTGGGGTGTGTGTGTGTGTGTGGGGGGGGTGTGGAAACGGAAAGTCCCAACCCTCTAATCCTGCCCTGGTCTTTTGGGTAACTCAGGGTGGCTGCAAGTCAATCATTAGCATACAGAAAGACATTTATCACTTTGGAGATTCCAAGGGTTTTAGTTGTTGTGTTCTGGGAAATGTGGAAGAAGACCAAATGTATCATTCCTAGTATCACAATAAACACAGCTGAAAGGTGAAAACTTTAATTCATTCTGACTCCTAGAATAGGAAAAGCTGAATTACCAGGTTCCTTCTATTTAAATGATTCTTTTCAAATTTCGCCATGAGTCCAGCAGCCACAGAGGTTCTGGGCCCTGACATGCACTGCAGCTAAGGTAGCCATAAACTTACATGCTACTTGCCCCCTAATGGCTACCCCTTATGAACCTCAAAGGTGTATACTGCCATAGCTCCAAAGCAGAAGTCATAGGACCAATATGGAAGTTAGGAGCAAGTGAGGATAAAGTGAAAAACCAACACCACTACCAAAATAGGACTTGACATCTTTTTCAAAAGCTTTTGATAGTTACTTTTATACATAACCCATTAGAATTAATTACACATTAACTGTATATATCTCAAACAGCTAGTATGTCCTGGAGTCAGAATTCGAACCTAAATGACCACCACTTTCTACTTCTTCCAAGAACACTGAGCTTCGACTCAAAGATGTGGATAAAGCTTAGCCTTCTGCTATTTGTGAGCTACATGGCCTTGAGCAAATCCTAAGTTCTCTGGTGCTTGAGAGTAAAACGAGAAGGAAGTCCTCATCAGTAAGGTGTATATGAAACATGGTTCACAAAACACCAGGATAATGTTTCTGAACTTGTTCACACAGTGAAATAATGAAAAATATGGTGCTTTTCAAATTCGACAAAATATTTAGTGAGTGTGTACATGTATATGTGCATATGTGTGTGGGTTCAAGTTGCCAGGATGTGCTCACCAGAAAGGAAAAGCATCCCCCAGTGGGGTGGTCATTATTCTCTGAGCGTTAGGTGCCAGCCTAAGCAGTGCCACAGGTATAAAACCTACTGGGTGGCTGGTTGCCCAAAACACTGAATGCTGTCTACCACGAATACTTCAGAAAGGACTGGTACCCTGATCATAGTTGTACCCAAAGAACCATTAAAGCCTTTCTTGGGAGTTTAGGATCCATTAGAGTAAACTCTGAAGAGAAGCTGAAAGCAATACGGATGTATATACCAATTTCATTTCTTCCACAAGCGTGACAGAGACAGGCACCTCCAATAAGCTCCCCCATGCTGTGATCCATCCTGTCTCAGCCTGGATCATGGGTGTGTGTGTGAGCCTGTCCTGTAGAGAAAAGCCTTGGGATATAAACCCAAGACCTTCTCATGGGGGGTCCAATTGTGATACCAGTGCTCCACGGTCTGCCTCTAAAAGCAGGAAGTATTTGGCAATGTAGCAGAGTCTTTCCTTGAGGGCAACTGGCCTCCTCTTCCTTCAAGAGGTTCAGGAACTGTGAACTGGCTCAGAGCTATGAGAAATCCATGTTTTCACTAAGAATGCTACACAGGAATGCACTGCTCAAGAGAAGCTGGATCCCACATGGTGATGTGATTTGAATTCTTGCCCTGGTCAGTCTGAAATATGCTGGGCACTTGCGTGTGGGCTGGAACGTGGAGGAAGGGAACTGTGGCGTGACCGGACCTTGCAGAGGATGCTCTCTCTCTCTCTCGCTCTTGTGTGTGCACATGCTTGACACTGATTTAAACACATTTTTGTTTTTTGCCATAGGATGTGTGCACTGGCCAGAGAGAGGGAAAGTGAGAAATCACCACTCTCCCACCCCCAGTAGTGAGCATGCTGCAATCCCTCTTTTTGGGATTTTGGGCACGCACGCACACATGTGTGCCTAGCATGATTTTCGAGCCGCCAAGTCAGGGACCCAAACCACACAGTTGGCCGTGTAACTGGCTGCTCTCCACAGGAATCCAGAGCCTTAACCAGCATACCATCTGCTGGTCCCTAAACATTTTTAAAATGTGTACTACTTAAGTAGAATTTTTCAAATCTCATTCTTAAATACAAGGAAGAATAAAGCTACATTCAACACCCTTCACATTCTGCTCTTAACCCGTTTCCACCTCCATAGCTAAGCATCTTACCAACCAGCCTCAGTCACACAGACCTATCCTTTTCTCTACACCATCCCCTCCTCCTGGACTGTCCCTCTTCTGCCTGAGTAACTCCTATCCCTCAAAGACCCAGGGGTCCAAGACCACTTCCTCTGTGTTGACAAATATAAGTGCTTACCATGTCCCAAGCTATGCGAAGAAGTGAGGTCACAAAAACCAGGGTTCCTGCAGGAACTCCCTCCAGGAGTAACTGCAAAGATGTAAGATGTTAATTCTACGATTCTTTGAAATTCACCTTCCTAAGTTCACAATCATTGAGTATTATGTGTGCCAGGCACCATCTTTACTTGTTTAACTGATTCTCAGACATCAAGACTCCCCCTACAGGGACCAACAGCGTAATGGCTTTGTCGCTGGACTCCTATGTAGTCAGCCACGGTTTGTGTCCCGCACCCAGTGGCTTAAACTCATGCCAGGCGCGTGTGCGTGCATGCCCAAGATCCCGAGAGGAGAATGGAGGAGAAGAGATTGCAGTGTGGTGTCCCCCCCGGGGGATGATTTCTCACTTTCTCTCTTTGTCTGGCGAGTACATGCACCCTATAGCAAAAACCCCTTTAAAAAAAAAAAAAAAGACTCCCCTAAAAGTCATCAAAGTTAATCATTTCCCAGTTCTCAAACTTCCTTTATTAGGCGAATTGAATACTAAGTAGTGCAATCGTGCAGCAGAGAGTAATAAAGTCTCCAGTTTAGTGAAACACTTCAAGACTGTTAAAATAAGAGAGAAAAGACGATCTAATTACTAAAACCTGGTAGCTTTATTTATATTTTGCACTTTTAAATTCACAAAATGCTTTATAATATCTGCTTTCTCTCTGTTGATCATCAAGGCTTTATGGTAAGACAGTGACAATTTTTATCACATCAACTGGGTATACTCAAAAACAATGGATAATTTACAAACAAACTTCTTTAATCAAGAACATTTTGTAAAATACAGACTTGTTAGACATCTGAGATTCATCTATCCTAAAATTAAGACTTTTAAAGCTTAAAGCACATGCTTGCGCGTGCACACACACACACACACACACACACACACACACAAATGGATTTAACACTGGCAAGCCTACCAGAATGATGCCGGTGGTAAGCTATAAAAAGCATTAAGTGTTCAATGTAATTTGGGAGAACAGGAGAAAAAGAAATTATCTGTTGAACCTATGTTTAAATGCATCTGTTAGTAAGACTGGTCTAGCTGAACAAATTTCAATAAAGTGAATGACTCCTTTGCCTCTGGTAGTTTCCTAAGTTTATTTTTAAACTTGTGACATTTTTCACTAAAGGAAGTGAATCCTGGGACTAGACTACTTAATGAAAAGAAAAACATTATGAGGGAAAAAAGGAAAAAACAAGACCATTACTTTCTTAGTCTTTGCAAGGTGGATAACAAAGACACTGTTCATATCAAGAAGGAATACCAGATGATATGCACATTTAGTTTGCCTTATGTTTTCCAAAAGTATTACATATAAATGGAAGAATAAAAATTCAAGGTGGCCTCTTTTAGGAAACTTAAAAAAAATTGTTGCCCTCAGTTTTTCAATTTGTAGAATGGCATAATATATACTTTCAGGCACTCATTATAGGATCTATTGAAATTATTTATACTGGTATTTCCACTTTTAATATAATTGTTATGTATTCTGAGGTAGTTCTTTAGAAAGCAATAGGGGCCAGTAAAATTAATGTCAGAATTCGAGTGAGAAGAGTGTGGAATGGAAAGAGGATGGGACGATAATGAAATCAGGTAGGAAAAACAAACATGATTTTTAAGGTTTCCTTGCTAATGCCGCAAAATTATATATTTTGGCTCTGTGTCACTAGGCTACTGGAAGTGACCAGGAAATAAGCAGGATAGTTTAATTGTCCTAGTTACAGTCTTAACTAACCCGTGATTTGGATGCCTTGGTCGCGGTGGACTGTTTACACAGACTGCGTGGGCAGGGGTGGCTGTGCTGCGGTTACTGCCTACTCTGGTTGATTTCTTTTAAGAACACCTCTAAAGGGTGAAGAGTAAAAGGATTAATAAAGAAAGATTCTGTAAACGGTTTAATCACAGACATGTTACCAATCGCCTTCTTTCTTGAGATAAGGACTACAGGCCTAAGAAAAAGTAAAGCTCTACTACTCCAGCATATTCTAAAGTTTTACTCTTTTGGTCAGAACTGTTTTCTTTTTTTTCCCTTGAGAAATGTCAACTTTAAAAAAAAAAACAACAAAAACAAAAAACCCTCATCTTTCATCTTAAATTGCCCACACATCAGTGATAGTAGGCACAGGAGTTTGAGGATTACAGTAATTGAAGAGATTGCAGTCATTTGCTGGGGACAAAGGCTTTTATTCTGAGGTGTCTTTCAGAGATTTAAGTGCTCTATTTTTATCACCGAAGGAGAATTATTCCCAAAGTATTCTTCAAGATACCGAAGTATTCCATTTATTAGGACAGTACACGCTAACCTATCGAAGTTACAAAGCCCAAGAAAAGCAAACAAGTCAATAAAAGCATGACTTAGAACTCTAACATTATTACATGGTGTATCATTCACTGTGAAATGTAAAAAGACTACGAATGCTTAAGTGGAATGAATGATCTGTAACCTGTAAATTATACTCATGTGACCAAACGGATGATCGGAAACTGTGGAAGACTACAGAACACAAATAAGGACAGAAAGGTGCTCGCCTGGACTGCTTTCTCAAAGCCAGAAAACTTAACTGACTCATCATTTTAGGAAAAAAAGAAAAAGATGAGTCCTGATTAGGAGGCGCAGTATGTTAAAAAAAAAAAATCTAATTAAAATAATTCAAACAGACTATTTTGGATGTTTATTTGAGATTAAAAATGTAGTTACCTATCATAAAGTACTTTTCTTCATCACAAAAATGTCATATATTAAGGACTTATACAATCCAAGGGAGGCGGGGAGACATCTAGAAACTTTTTTTTTTTTTGTCTGAACAAGAAATCCTCTAAAAAGGCTCTCCAAAATCTTGAGCGGAAGCATCATAATCTGCAATGAAACGCTTGAGCTCTTCAACACACCGCTCACCTATTTCATGTAAATTCTGTCTCAATGCAAACTGTATAGGCTTTTCTAATGAAGGATCTTTTTCGATCAGCATTTTCACCACCATCCCAAAAGTTTCACAGTCTTGTCGGTAAACCTAGAAAAGTAAAACATATTCAGATTAGCTGAGAGTGAGATTATTATGCACTTATGGCAGACTCATGATACTGAGATCTTTTTCTCATCCTTGCATGGCCACTATTATCAGAGGCCATAAACCTCTATCACTGACATCTGCAACTTGCAACTTGAACGAGTAGAAAAAAATTCATCATTGAATGAAGTTTGGCCTTACACTGCCAGTATAAGGTGATCTGCTTAAAGAACATCAGACTAGAGAAGAACTAAGAACAAAGGTGAGGCACAACACATCAATAGCTTTGTTCATTTATTAGTTTGGAAGAAAATGTTTGAGTCTCTAACTATTGACAAAAAAAGTTACTATTATTTATTTAATTCTATTTGTTGTTATTATTTTTTAATTTGACCAGACAGACAGAGAGAGAGAAAGGGAAAGGGAGAAAGAAAGCCACTAAGTCCAGGACTTGAACTGTGGTTGGCTATGTGGGAATCCAGGGCCTTTAACCACCATGCTGCCTGCCTGACTCCCCCAACCACCCCCACCCTGCCACTGCCAAATTTAAAATCCTGCAGAGTACACAACAAACAACGATGAGAATGCTGATAGGCCGACCCTAAGGCCTGGTGGCTAAGGGAGACAGATCTTCATCGCCAAACATGTGATTTAAATCCCAGACCTTGTGGCTTGAAAAACATGCAGGTGCATGTGCATGCATGCCCCAAATCCCAACAGGATAGAGGATGGAGGAGATGGGATTGTGGCATGACTATTCCCCATTGTGGGATGCTTTTATTCTCAGTGTATTTCTCTTCTGGCAATAAAAAAAAAAAAAAAAAAAGAAATAACATTTCATTTTGACTCTCAGTTTCAGGTTGCTAAATTACACTAAATTTATTTTCTTGCTTTTGAAAACAGTTAAGTCCTAAGGAAATTTACAGAGTAAGTTCTTCAGATAACATGGAAATTAAAATACATAAACCCTTAGCTGTTTTCCCCACCTCAGCACTAATTCACAAATATGTTTTCCTAAATAATGATCAAAATTTACTTAAAAATAGCCATTCAATTTAATTCAGCCATTTAAATAATTTATTCTTGTACATCCTGAACATGTCCCAGAACTGATTTTAGTATTCTGATAAGCTGCATGGAAACAGTATTCCATTCACAGAACCTTACATATGATGTTAAGGCAATAGAGCATGTTAGGATTTCTCTCACGAAAACAGTGTCTAAGTCAAGCCAAGGTAGTCCTCCTGGGGGGTGGGGGGGTTAGTCAGCACCATATTTCACAGTCTTAGTGGAGGTAAATTCCTTACCAAACCAGTCAGCCCGCATAATAACAGCATTCTCATACCAACCACAGGCCTCAGCAGACCACTTTGTGGGTGGCCCAAATTTTACAGGCTTCTTTAGAACAGATGAACTAGATGAAGATAATGTTACACTGTGAATTAACCTGGAAATTCTTGCATGTAAATATGTTTTTCTACTGTACAGTAACTCTTTGCTTAGCATATTCACAGAACATAAATATGTGACAGGTTTACATATGAAAAATAAAACCATGTAAAAATGTTCATACTTTTATTTAAACTGTGAACTACTGTCACAAGAAAAAAGATATCAAACACTTAAAGTTGATGGCATCTTTTCTAAGGTATCTTTATCTAAATTCTAAGGCCTTTTTAAAAATTATTTGTTGGAGACATGAATCTTTGTATATTAGCTGATGAGAACAATTAGAACTGCTGAAAGCAGCATAATTCTCAATTAGACGGCAAATATTCTTTAAAAAGGCCCTGGTTGGTCATTAGACAGGAAATAGTTTTTTGTTAAAGGAAGACCTCACCCTCCAGCATTTTATAAATACAATTCGCAACTGTCAGAAACCCATTTCCGAAATCTGTTCCACAGTAAACTTAATCCCAAAACAGGAAGGGTGTGGTTATCTGCAGGAGAGTTTGTTAGCTTACAGTCCCCAGATGAAAATGAATTAATAATCTTCAGATTTTATATCTATGGGCCACACAGGAAGATTTTTTTTGTTTCTGCTTTTGTCCTGCTTGGACTTCATCAAAATGGGATACAGGTCAAAGCATGGGTGGAGTTCACATAAACTGCATAGAAACATTGTTAAGTTTGCCAGTATAATGAAAACCCTACCCAAACGTGGCTTACACACACCTTTATTATAATAACCTGTGTTGGTTAAGTTTCCACAAAATATTTTAGGGTTAAAGGGATATGACAAAATAAATGATCTAGGCTCTTGTAATGGCATAAAACTTCCCCATAATATATATTACATTACTTCTTGTCTCTGTTCTCTCCAGAAAATAAACCAATATCAAGGTAACATGAGCCATCAGAAGCATTTTCATTTCAGCTAAACCATCTTTAACATAACGAAATCTGGAAGAGCAGTCTAGAGAAATGGTAGAGATTATAGCATTGTGATGTTTAATACAGTAGACATCACTCTAAATATTAATTTAAATATGTGCATATTTATTTTAATATTTAAGGTGTTAATATTAGGGGATAACTGCTACAGAACACAGTCTTAAAGGTCTGGAAAATCAAATAACATTATTTCCTCTATTATCGAAGCTTCATCATTTCATATATTTGTCTTTATCTGAACTCATCTGGCTCAAATGCTACATGTAATGTGTTATAGGGAGAGGTAAACCCAGACAATTAAAACACTGCACAAAGGAGACATTTAGATGTATAAAGTGATGGGGAGGCAGAGACAACAGATGAGTGGTCCCAAGGCATGCTAACTGAGTTCAAATCCTAACTCTACTATTTTTGGATGCTGAGTAACACTCCCATGTGGAGATAAAATACATTACCCCAAATATACTCCTTCGGCACACGCTTGAGATGACTATTCAGAGGGTTGCAAATAAAGAATTAGCTTTAAAAAACTACATGTTGGGAACCAGCAGTTAGCGTAATGGCTATGTCGCTGAACTCCCACGTAGTCGACCACAGTTCGCGTCCTGGACCTGGTGGCTTAGAACTCATCACGCCAGGTGCGTGTGTGTGCGTGCCCAAGATCCCGAGAGGAGAATGCAGGAGAAGGGATTGTGGCGTGACCATCTCCCCTGGGGGGTGATTTCTCACTTTCTGTCTCTATGTCTCTCTCTGTCTGTCTGGCGAGTGCATGCACCCTATAGCGAAAACCTCTCCAAAAAAAAAAAAAAAATAACTACATGTTGTGACTAGTCAATGGTGTGGACATTAAGGTGCTGGATCCCACATGGCTGACTTTGTGGTTCAAGTCTTAGACCCAGTGGCTTGAAAATCACGCTGGGCATATGTGCATGTGTGTGTTCAAAATTCCAAAAGGATAAGAATTGAGATGTGGCCATCCTCCCCACCCCCCCATAAGCACACATGCCCTATAGCCAAAAAGAAAACAAACAAACAAAACCCACTTAAAACTATGCTTGCATAAAAAGAAACAGCTATGTACAACTACTGAATATTTGCATTACTAAGGAATTAGACAATGCAAGCAGGATTTCTCTGCACTCCCCCTTATCTGCCTAGGAAAAACTGCATCATAGAGGAAAGGGTATTAGAGGTTTGACACCTGACCCAGAAAAACAGAAAGCAATCTTTACATCTTTTACCCTTACCATTTTGTAGCTGAACTTCAAACTTAAAAAACAACAAAATTGCTACAGAGAAATTGAGAAAGCACCTCCCAGGGAGGATGTTCACAATGCAATCCCTTCTCCTCCATCGTCCTCTAGGTATTGTGAATGTATGAACACACACACACACACACACCTGGTGTGTCTCTCATGTCACCAGATCTGGGACTCGAACCACAGAGTTGGCCACATGGGAGCCAGTCACCCTAACATCATACCACCAGTTGGCCCCAAGTATACTTTTCTGTATGGTATACATATCTTCAGTCATCTTGTCCTTCTTAGAGTTTCGTGTTTTGTGTGGCTCCTGTCCCCCTGTGCACATAATTTGTATGCCTTTTTCCTGTCAATTTGGCCAGTTTCATTTCACAGACTAATGATTTCTCTATATAGCCTAACCTCACCACCAAGATGTTCACACCCAAATCCCTATGCACTGTGTACATTTCACTTTACATAGTATGGTGAAAGGGACCTTGCGGGTGTGATTATGTTACAGACAGGGAGATTATCCTGTATTACCTAGGTGGGTCCTATTAACTACAAGGGTCCGGATAAGAGGAATATGGGAGGGTCAGGAGTAGAAAGGCAATGAATGTCATTACAGAAACAGGTTGAATAGACAAATACAATCTTTAAGGATGGAGGAAAGAGCAACAAGGCCAGGAATCCTACCAAACACTTAAGGAAGAAATAATACCAATACTCCACTATGTAGAAAACAGCAGCAAAGGGGCTTCCTAACTCATTCTATGAGGCCAGCAAAAGAGTCACTGGGATTACAGGTGTACAACACTGCACCCAGCCTTTAGGATAGACTAGGTTTGTCCAAAAGACATTATAGAAAAGGAAATCCACAGACCAATAACAAAAACATGTAAAAAAAAAATCATGAAAAAAAGATTCTAAACTAGGAATAAAATGAAACTTCTTCAACTTGATAAATAACACCTATAAAAGACAACATGGTGTAAAAAAAAAAAAAGCTAACATCACGGTAAGAATAAAGTAGATACTTCCCCCTGCCCCTAATCAGAAATACCAGAAGGGTTCCTCATCTCACTGGTCATTGTACTGGAAGTCCTAGTCAATGAGAAAAAAATAAGAAAGAAAGAAAGAAAAGAAATAAAAGGTATACTGATGACTTTTAAATACAGTATCAAAAGCCCTACAGAGGAGACTTTTTTTTTTTTTGGCTGGAGGGTGCATGTGCTTGTGTGGTAGGGTTGTAGAGAAAGAGAATACTCCAATGGAGCATGGTCACACCTCAATCCTTTCTCATTCATTTCTCCATCCTTTCTAGATGTGGGGTATACACACATGGCCATGTTTGCCCAGCACAGT